AAAAAAAAAAAAAAAAGACATATCATATGATACCTAAAAAAGACACAAAACCTTTGACTCCGAAAGTGAATTAAGAGCTTATCCTTAGAATAATCAGTCCAATAAAAGAAAGAATATATGATTAATAGCCTATCTTGTTTTAAACAGGGGAGAGAAAACAGAGGAAAGTTTGAGGAGCCAAAAGCTACTTGGACAACAAAGGGTAAATATGAGGAAGATGCTGGAAACAAACTGGCCAGCCCATTTGCCTTTGGCTGTGAACAGGGTAAAGCATGTGTGTGGTTTTGGAACATTGCTTTGTATAACATGCCAGTAATTTTTCTAAAAAAATAAAGTCATCTTCTTAAAGGAACTATAGTCTCAGAAAATTCATTAAATGCCACCAGAGCAGATTATAAAACTGGATAAAACTTCCTAAGACTTTTGCTTTTTTTTTTGTGATTTCTAAGGAGCCAATATTGATGATTGAGGTTTCCAAATATTTCAAGTTTAGTAGTTATTTTCACCTTTTGACCATTTAACTGTACCTACAGAAATATATTTGATGACACTTTGTGAGTATACTTACTTACCTAATACTGAGCCAGAATTAATGAGTGAGGATATATTTATTCTAAAGCCCTAATATACCTCAAACTTTAACAACAGCGTTTCTCTTAGAAATAGAGGAAATTTTATACATTTACAACTTAAATTAACAGAAAAATAGAAATCATATTTAAGTTATACAGTAGTTCAAAGGGCAGCAAAATTTAATTGGCAAATTCCTGCCTGGCCTTGTTTTGTTTTCCCAACTGCCATTTTCAAAGCAGCTTTGTTCCTGAATGATTCATCTCTACTCCAAAGCCATACTTCATCTTGTAAGTAAGTACAGTTGACAGGTTTGATAAATTCTTAAGAAGTACTTATATGAATGCTGTGCTCATGTGCTACAGTCATCTGAGTCTCTGTTACCTTCACAGAATCTCTTCATTTATTAATATTCTCAGGAACAATGAAAAATCTTGAATGCTTTTTAAACGTAACTATTAGAATCTTGCTTTAAAATTCATTTACAGGTGTCCTCATTTGTCTTTTCTATGGAGCCAAGTTCTGTGATTCACAGTTAACAGAAACTTGGCACAAGAGTTTTTTCCTGTTACCCAGAGCAATTTTCCTAAGAATCCAGTAGAAGTTGGCACTGCCCGATTTTAGCCACTAGATGGTGATACTGCAAAGATCCAAATTTTCTTATGACATATCCTGAAGACAACTAGTAGGCTAAAGAAGCAAAATTAATTAGGAATGTTTAGGCACTATTAACATGAGTAGATAGGCTAAATGGTAGGCAGTGAAAGAAAGTTCTCCCTATGTATTTGAGTAAGACTTTACCTCTGTGCAGTAAGCAGAATAATGCAGTGCTTCTCAAGCTATCTGTGGTAAAGGGCTGGGTTTTTATTTTCAGACTGTTGTAGTGCCTATAGTTTTGAAAAAGACAGTAAAAGTGAATTCCTAGACAAATGAAGTAAAAACAAAGACAAAAAATACAAGCCCCAATTTTTTAATGAGATTCAACAGAAACAAAATTCAAGAAGTTGCTTTAAAAGTTTAAATGCTTCCTATCAGCATCTGTACTGATCCCCTCACAGACCAGTAACACATGGTGTTAGTAACATACGGTGCAGGCACTGGTCTGAGGACCACCCTTCGAGTAGTGCTGAAAAACTGGCTTTGATAGTGCATCCCGTTCAGTTAGCAGAGCCTGGTCCAAACTGTGGCTCCATTACCACTAGCTGGGTAGCTGTGGAAAGATCACTTAACCTTTCTAAGCCCCAGTTTACTCATTTGGATCAGGTAAATAATATCTATGTTTAGGCTTTTTATGAGAACTCTATGATAATGTGCCAAACCTCTCAGGAAGCACTCAAATGTTAGTAGAAACTGAATGATATAATTGGTACATTTACATAGTAAACACGGATTGTTTTCTCTGATCTCTGCTTCGTCATCTTACGGATTGGTGTTTTTTCCATGAATAGAAAGAATGTGTTCAGTTGATCATCAAACACTTAAAGGACCTTGAAATCTTATTTGATGGCCTGATGGAAGCACTGCTACTTGGAGATCATTGACAATATCTGTCCTCTCTCTGGGAAGTGAAACCTCTTCCACTGAGCTGGCAGCTTTGGTGGGCAGAGGGAGGACACAGCAAGCAGTGAAGGAGTCGGAGGGCACATATCCACCCAGATGTGTCTGCAGTCAGATACTTCCATGCCCCACGTGTTTGAAGAACTGCAGAAGCACTATGCTGTCAGCTCCAAGCCTAGGTGATTAATTACAAAACCCAGGAAAGGCTGGCATGTGAACTACATTAGGCAAGACCAAGGATGGCAGTTTGTTCCTTGATTAATCATTATATTGTGATTAAATACCAACTATTACCGTTTAATACCATTAAATACCATTTATTGTGTGAACTTACTATGCCAAACACACATGGCTTCAATCTTTACAACAATCCTGACAGATGAATCATTTTAGAGGTAAGGAGACTAAGGTTTGGACATGTTAAGCGGCTTAAATCACAAAATGCCAGTTATTGACCAGTTCTAAAATGCTAGCCATGCTCTTTAGCACTGTATTTACCCCACGGGGAAGCACAACCGCTCCCCAGCTATGGTGTCCAAATTAGACTTTAAGGTTAAGTGAACAGAACAAAATCAACTATTAGACCTGGTTCCAAAAGTTACACAAGCTGTAAAGTCAGTCTAAAAAGTACTTAAATGAAAAACCGTAACCACCATACCAGAAAAAAAGGAGCACCCACCATGAAAATGTCACTGAGAGTATTTTAAAATCTTGGCATACCATATCCACAATTTTAAAATATTGGGTTCAAAGATCCTATATATCTGATATGAACTGTAACTCATATTAACAAAGGCTTGGAGATTGAAATCAAGATCATCTAACGTGCTCACTTTGGCCAACGAATTTCAGCTTCTTTTCAAAAAAAGTCCTGAGATATTATCATGCAGCAATTCTGCCCATGTGCATTTTACCTTTCTGCCCCAAGGAAGAAAGGACTAAGAAATCCACAAATGTAAAACCAGGCAGGCCCTGAAAAACTGATATGCTGGTGGTAGGCGAAAAAAAGAGCAACAGAATTAAGGTTTTATAAACCAGAGAGTGTTTTGTTTCTGTTAGGTAAAGGGATTTCTTCATATGTTATTTTAATAAAAGGGAATTTCATAGGTAAAAACCAATATTCAAAATTATAAAACAAATAGAACTGTCTGTGTATAATCACTGCATCAAAAATTTGCAAAAGACTCATGAGAAATTCTTTAGTTGACAAATGCGGTTTGAAGGGGTAATAAAATCTTTTTATGGCCAAAGCAAGAGTCTTGTTTCCTGTTGGTCCAAAAATAGATGTTTCATTTCCCAAATAAGTAGGCTCTCCACTGTAAAGAAATATTCTTGTATAGTTGGTTTCTATCTTCTTGAACTCTGCTCCAAATTCAGCCAATTTCTTATATGTCCTTAACACAAATTTGCTACAATCGTAGGATTCGAACCATGTCTCTGCCCCTTTTTCTGGGCTGGCTTGGACAGTCCACGTCTCGTAATAAATCCCTGTTTCATTGTCCTGTTTTACCCACTTTGCCATTTTGTTAAACATGTTTCCTAGTGAAAAAAAAAAAAATCACCTATGTAAACATCAAAGCTAATTATGTTGGTTTTAAGTAAAATGTTCTAACCTGATTAAGGCCATGAATGTATGTGAATAAACAATAGTTTTTGAATTTCCAAACCTGCATCTCACAAGAGGAATCCAAGCTCAGCCAATTTTTATTCCATTCTTCAAGGCACAAGGTGTTTCTGAATTGTGAACACTGGATATAACAGTTGTATAAAGAGAAGTCTTACACACTAATTCTATAATCATTTAAGCTACAGTCAAAAGCAAAATCATGCACATGCAGAAGCCCTCTTTCTCTACCCTACTCAACAAATCTTGGATTTAGAGGCAAAAGAGAGAAAGAAAGCAACGAAAAAATTGTGGAAGAGGGAAAGGTGAATGGGGCAAAGACAGTGTAAGAATTGAGGGGGGTGAAATATGGAGCTTTTCTGTCACAGAGCATAGCATGCTTACAGTAGGAATGGCCATCTGAGGAACAGCTACGCTAGAAGGCCTACTAATGTTAGTTAGAAGACGAAGCACCAGATCCCATCCACTTTGAATATTTGGTATTTCCCTTTTCTCCCAGTACTTGCAGCTGTTGAGAATCTCCTTACAACCTTCCCAACCACCACACAAATTCTTCCAATGAATCAAATAAACTGGTAATATTTTTGGCCAAGCTCATGAACTATATAGACTCCAGGATGGCTAACACTCTCTCCTGCCACCTTATACCAGACCAGAGGAATCTGGTCCAATAACAAAACCCCATATTCCACATGGTTACAATCTCACCTGGGCATTTATAATGCCCAATAGAGCTCAGCTCCAACATGTCACTTTGTCACTGTGTGTGAACCTTTCTTAGGTTACTCCACCAGGAGTCCATAAAACTGATACTTCATGCCCTACAAAATGAATAGAGTGGCTGCCTGTATCAATTTTATGGAATTAAAATTGTGGAATAGTATAAAGCCTGTTTTCTTAGAACTGGGGATACTGTTCTTAGTGTTCTTCAACTTTGAAAAGCCACTGCTCTAATTAAGAGATAAGAATGCTTCAAAACACTATTTTCTAACATAAAAAAAAAGGTCAATGAACAGGATTAATCACAAGGTAGACGGATAACTTAAAAGATTTAAGTACAATTTACAGAAAATAATGATCACTTGTTCATAGATCATATACTGATGTCAGAAGGAAGAATTTTCAGATAATGGAAACAAAGAAAGGAGAGATGCAAACTGGCCTGGAATGAAAGAAAGAGCAGCTATTTATTACACTGAGCACTGTTAAAAGAGAAACGGACTTCTATATTGTTGGGATGGTTTGGGGCACATCCACATTCCACATTCGAGGCAATGAGTCAATACAGGAAAATGTGACTCAAGCTCACATAACCAGTTTCTGACAGAAGTTCTCCTGAACTCCCTTCATTACTAACCAACAATGCAACACATGCAGCAAAATTTCAACTCTTTCAGCAACTTTCCCATACATCCAAAAGAATAGAAAATCTCAGGGATAAAATATTTAAATTGCTCAAAGAGCCTCAAATGCGTAAGATCATGTATGTTTTGAGAGGCAATGTAGCAAAGTGGTTAAGAAAATGGTCAATGGGACTTCACTACGAGGACTGGAGTACTACTTATTTACTTGTGTGACTTTAACCTCTTTGTGCCTCAGTTTCCCCATCTATAAAATGGGGAAAATAATAATAACTCTCTCAGGGGTTGTTGTGATAAAAAATGATGTGATATATGTAAAGCACTCAGAACACTGCCAGGACCAGAGCAAGTCCCTGAGAACCAGAGAAGCTCCCACATGAGTGGGAGCTATTATTATTTATTGACATAAAAACATTTTACTTTATCGTCACTAAAAGTCTTTTTTCAGAGACAGTTAATAGGTCCTTTAGCCAATTATTTTTTCAGGTATTTCATGAATTTTCTTCCACTATTTTATTTAGAAAGTCCAATTTACTTGTACAAAGTATTTTATCATGTCGTTCATTTTTACCATGGGAACAGAGCAGGAGGTAAGCTACTCATCAACTGCAGGGGAAGTTTTGCATGTGTAATAGTTTGGTCAAAGGTTAGTGGTTCCAGAAGTACATTTTATAAACTGACTTCTAAAAAGTAGAACATTACTGAAATGCCTAAATGACAGTAATTTCTTTCATTTGGATATTGATGCAATCATCACATACTGCCATATTTTTGAAACTTACCTGATATGGTCGCTACTAGAACTAATGTCCCATTTTCCTTCCAGTGACTATCATCAATTCCTTCAAAAAAGCAGGCAGCGCCTTGATTACACCAGAAAGGAGCATTCATTTCAGGTCGGAGATGAGGAAACGTGCAGTTTCCAAGTTGGAAAAGTTCATACCATTCCATTGTGTAATTCTTGCCCGTTAAGGTACTCCTGAATCCAATGGCATCATGCATAATTTTCTGTGTAAAGATCATACATGTATAAAAAGCATTTGTGAGTAATCCTTGGTTCAGGAACCAGATGGGAAAAAATGTGACAGACTACAACTGCATATCAAGTAGAACAACTGCTCAGCTGTTCCTCTTCCATGGTACTAAACTCAAGTCCACTCCGTAGCTCCTCAAACTCCAGGCCCTCATCCACTCTGGTTTTAGCCAGCGCAGGTCATCTTAGACAGGCAGACATATGCTATGTGGACACACTCATCATTTTCTTACAGCTTAGAATGAGTACAAGAAACCGCCATGCCACAGTCTCAGGGAGCAACTTTATGTACCTCACAGGGTGACGAGAGGCTCAAATGGTGAGCTAACCTAGGAAAAGTGTGTAAACAGAGCCTGGAAATGAAGTGTTTCCTGCTTGCCTTGCCCTTTCCTCTGGGCCTTCTCCTTTCTCACTTTCTAGGAGCTGAGTACAGGAGTTGGGTTTGGAGTCAGAATATTAAAAGGGATTAAAGTGATTGCATTTGCTATTGTCAGGATCACAAAACCTGGTAATATTTTTTTGACAACTCATTTTAAATATGCCAAGAGGAACACCAATAAACCTGATCTAAAATCAGCCTTTTGAATAGTGATAATTCCCTCAAATTCACTTAATAATGGCATCATTTAATTGACCAAAGTTGTAAGATCAAGATGCATCCTTACCAAGTGTCCCAGGAGGTCTCCGTATTTAAATTCCCATACTGGGGCTTGTAACCGAAAGACTTCAATGACATCATCGCCCTTCATAACTGGGATATGTGAGCCAGTCGGACAGAAAGTGTATTTAGCTTGACAATACGGATCCGGTTCCGGACGGAAGGAAAACCGTCTAAGAAAGAAAAAGAAACCATCAACTTAGATTCTGACAGGAATTTGGCTCTTCTTGAACATTTTAGAATCCATTAATTTCATTGTCAATAACATTTTTAGAGAAAACAATCAAAGCTCACCTCATAGCATATAAACACACGTCTTGTTATCCTATGAACAAACTCCACTGTCTTTAAAAGCAAGTGATACATTAAAAGCACTTTGATAAATGCATGCTTCCTTGTTCCCTGCTCCAATTGTGAGAATTCTGAAGACAGGGATCATATCTTAAAATGTTTAGAGCTCCAGATTTTATTACAGTAGACAAATATTTACTGAATAAATGAATATTTTTCAAATGATATTTCATTTCCCAAACAATCCATGTTAAGATTATCCAAAGATAATTAGGATTAAATAGAACATATTTTATATCTTCTTAAGAATTAACCAACATTCCTTCAACCAATATTCATTGAGGATCTACTATGTGTAGGACACTACAGTAGGAAGGAGGGAAACAAAAACTCAAATGCTGTTGCCTTCCTCAAGGAGCTCTGGGTGGGGGCTGGGAGGACGTAAGACAAGCAGTGAAGTGCAGTGTGGTAGGTGCTCAACTAAAGAAATATAGACAGTCCCCTGGGCATGAAGGAAGAAATCATCTTTACCTGGTGTGGGATGGGTGGGGGTGAGGAGGGCAAAGAAAGAGATGAAGACCTGGCCTAGGTTTTTAAAATACTTTCGAGGGTTAATACAGAAAGGGAGGGAAAACATGAAGTATGACAAGACAAGCATGATGCGCTGGAAGAGTCTCAAGTAGGTAAACAGGGCTGGAATTCAAGCTTCAAGGCAGGAGTGCTGAGAGGAGAGGTGGGCAGAGCAGTCAGTTTGCACTAATATAGAGTGAACCGCACCTGCTGTGGTCCTACAACTGGGGAGGGCTGAGCCCAGGGGAGAGCCTAAAGGATTTTAAGTAGCAGATCTGATACGACTGAATTTGCTATAAAATAAACCTTGCTTTACGAACTAGAAGGTGGAGAGAGAGGCCAAATTCAGGCAGAGAGGTCAGTTAGGAGGTTACTGCAATAACGCCACAAGAAAAGGCGGTGGCCTGAGAGGCCACAGCAACAGGACCAGAGGGGGGACCAGGGCTGAATTCAGCTCAACAGACACATGCTGGTCCCCTTCCACGTTTGGGGCTGGGAGAGAAAGACCAAAGAGAAAGAAGCTGCCTCTGTCTATCCTCTAAGAACCTTAGATCCCTAAGGTTCTAGCCAGATCTATTGTTTTACCACCCTAACACATCGACAAAAATTTCTATTTTAAGAAGTTAACAAAATCTTGATGTTAGCCAAAAATATTAACAACCCTCCCAAAATTTATGAGACTTAGGTCTACTTACCTGTTTTATAGATGTTTACCTGTTTTAAACAAATACATACGAAACAAATACTTAACTATACATAGGTTTTACTTGCCCACAGCAAAATCCATTTTAGGTCAAATGTAATTTCAAAAGCATAATTTGTGTGAACTTACTAAAGTTAAATTTTATTATATTCAGGTGAAGGGATTAGATGGCAGCATGTACTTAATACCTGAAAGTTTTCAAGAAACATAAGACGTCAGAGTCAATACCTTGCCCTTAAATCTAGTAGTTTTGGATTTACAATCTCTTCCTTGTTTTATTGGATTTTTAATTTTTACTTCTTATAAACACTTTATTAACATTTTCCAGAAAACCAGCTTCAGCCCTAAACTTCTCTTTGCAACTGTATCAAGCAAAACAAGGAAGTAGTGCAAACCATTCAGTGTGCAAAATACACTAATATCCATGTTTGACGATACCTACCATTTACTAGAGTTAATCCTCCCAACAAACCTGGGTGAGTGCTACCACTATCCCTACTTTCCGACTCAGGACACGTGGGCACAGAGATACTGAGTAACTTTCCCAAATCACACAGATACTGATGGTGGAGCATGACTTGATTCGCAGCAGCCGGAACCTAGAACTTGCTGCCTACCGCTGGGTTATCTGGCCTCCCAACCCACTATTTTGTCATCCAAAGCAGTTGTGCGCTTTCAAAAGCTGCTGGCTTTCCCACGCCTGATGCTGACATCGTGTTTTCTTTCTTTCTGTTTAGCCATCTCTGACAGTCAGGCCCTGTCAATACTCTCCTAGTTCAAAGGCTGGAATCAGCTTCACAGGCTTGCAGTCTCCGTCCTCGACTTATGACCAGCGTCCTACTTCCAGGCTGAAGACAGTGGACAAACAGGGTCACCAACCCTCCCGGTTTGCCCGGGACGGAGGGAGCGGGGGATTCCCCGGAGGCGGGACTTTTAGTGCTAAAAACGGGAAGTTTCAGCGAACCCAGGCGAGTTGGTCATGATGTAAGTTGTGCCAAAGGTTACCCACTCATGATAATAATGACAGTGCATGCCATAAGTAATAAATGCGATATTGAAAGTCTCCCCCAAATATTCAAAGAGTCAGTTACTTGCATCTAAAAGTCACGCGATAAAATACATTACACCCCTTTTCTTCCAAGATTCGGGACAGCCCTGAGTCTAGGTCACCTCGCAACTGGCTCGAGGGTCCTGAGAGGAATAAAGGCCCCGAGGCGGTGCGCAACCGAGCTCGCAATTCGTTTACACTGCGCCCCGAGTGTCACCGGGCGCCGCCTCCGGGGCGCGTGACCGGGACACACAGGCACGCGCGCCGGCGCGGCTTCACAGCCTCGGCCCTCAGGCCCCGCCGACCAAGGCCGTGCGC